GAGTCTTTTAAGAGAATTAAGAGAAGGCAATAAAATTAATACAGAATTAGATGACAGTTGATGAATATCATTTTCCAATCACATACAATAAAGAGAAGAATTTAATAGTGTTTAGACATAAAACATATATTTATCTAATTCAAGAAATAAATAATGGAAAGTTCAAAATAATTGATTAATTAATTTGCGAAAAACCATCTATTTTTGGAACTATTACAAATAATGGAAAATATTTAGTGTATTGGGATGAAAAAGGGTAAGGATATTCAACATTTGAATTATTAAATAAATGAAAAATTTAGAATATTTTATCATAATCATATAATTATTTCAGTATAATTCCCTCTATAGAAAAAATTATCTGTTTTTGAATTCTTCTAAATGGTTTAGGCTCTTTAAATTTCTTACAAAGATATTTATTAGATTTTTTAACACTACTAAGATAAATTTTTATATCCAAGATAATTGAATTAGAATTCTTAATTTCTATTAAATTAGTTGAGAAGGCATTTAATTAATTTTTATCTTACTCTAAATCTAAAACATCATTTAAAAAAAACTAAATAGTATTAATTTTTTAATATCTATGAGTATTTACCTTTTAATAACATTATAAATTGTAATTCTTTGATTTAGTTTATAAACACAGTAATATAAGACACTAAGATAAAATATAATCTAAAATTTTACTGAATATTAAATGAAAGAATCTAATTTTAATTTATATGTTTTTCTATTGTCATGTAATAATTTCAGTAAGTTTTTCTGATCTTTTTATTTTTAATTGCTTTAAATATCTATTATTTTTTTTGCATTTAGTTATTTTGATATTTAGAAAATCCATATAATCCATAAATTGATTAAATGTGTTACTTATATCAATTAATCTCAATTATATTGACGTATAACTTTTTCCCCCCATTTTAATTTCAATAAAATTTTACTGAAATGCAAGATTATTGCAACCATTAAGAAAAAGTAAAAGATTCTTAGAAACATAAAAATTACTCTAGAACATCTATGAAAAGTTAATTTTTATTATTAAATAGATTTATTATTACTCAGAGGTCGAGATATATATAAGCTTAAACCTCAAATATTCATTTTTTTAGAATTCACTACAACTAAATTTTACTAGACATAAATGAAAAAAATCTTCAAGTTAGTTTAAACGAAAGACCAATAAAAACGTATGTTTAATAATCCTGAACTAAATTATAACTTTTATTCATAGTTTGAAAATTTACATATAACTAATACAGGATAAACTTAATGAATTAAAATGATAATAGTTTATTAATAAAGCCTTTAAATGTCTAATCTCATAAAAACAAGAGTCATATCTATTATTTAAGATCCTATTAATATTTGCAGACTCTAATTGCAAAAAGTTTAAGCATAGGAATTTATAAATTTCTCATTATTCATTTACATTCCTCTATATCTTCTGAAGATTTTTGATTCACCTTTCTATTGGAGTTAGATCGTATTGCAAAATAAGAAAAGGAAAGATGAGAATGAAATGAGCTTTGTTCCTTCCCTCTTGTTATACTCTCTTATATTTTTTAATAAAGATAGAGACATTTATCCATTTATCTCCTTGCTCTTTTTATTGATTAAATCTCCTTTTTTTCTTTTTTCTTGCATGCTCATCATTGATTTACAAATAAGTTATTAATATATTAGAGAAAAAGAATTTTAGCCAAGAATTTGCTCATATTATCCATTTTTTGGTCATCCTTTATAATTTTTTTAAAAATCACTCACTTTTCATCTCCATAACTCTTATAATTCAAACAAAGCACAAATAATTTTTCTAAAAGTAAAGCATTTAGTTAGAGCTCGAATCTCAAATTATGAAAGAATGAGAAAAAATTATATATGATTTATAGTAACAGTCGATAATGTTTATTGAGTAAATTCAAAAGTGCTTTCTTTTTTTTTACTCATAATATTATAAACAAAAAGCTAAAAGGAAAAGGCTACTCTGAAATGTTAGACCAAAATAAACTAATACTTTAATAAATAATTCTTGTCATAATTCTTGATAATCTCAATGGGTTTGGGTTTGGGTTTGGGTTTGGGTTTGGG